TGATCCTCCTGCCTAAGCCTCCCAAGTAGCTGGGAATGCAGGCACATGCCACCCTGCCCAGCTAACTTGTTAATTTTTTGTAAAACAAAGTCTCCCTATGTTGCTCAGGCTGGTCTTGAACTCCTGGGTTCAAGTGTTCAGGTAAGCCTCCTGCCTCAGCCTCTCAAAGTGGTGGGATTACAGGCATGAGCCACCCCACCTAGCCTGAGTGAACTTTATAGTATATAAACTATATGTTAATAGAGCTGTTAAAAATATACCCATTTTTAATTTTTTAAAATTTATATTTATAGAAATTATATACAGCCTCAGTTTACCTTTACACACACACATACATATTTGCAGCAGGTCTGAGACAGGACAAAGCCCTGCAGCAGCCACTAGAGGTAGTTTCCTGATGACTTCACCTCATAAATCAGTACTCTCATGGCACAATTGCTATATTAGCTATGAATCAGTCAAACTCTATGACAAGCAGCTCATATTTCTCCACTTTGAAAAAAAAAAAAGATGAACCTTTTCATTGTCTGAAAATTACACATATGCTATCTATAACATAATAATACATGAATAATATAATTATTTTGTAAATGAAATTAGGATGGACATACCATATGATTTTTATGAAGGAAGCTGGTTCCTAAAGCATTTTCTTTTCTAAGCTTTCCCAAATATTAATTTAATAGCTTACTAACGAGTTTTTCTAAGCTTAACATTTAGCTCACCAGTCTAAAGTTTGCAGAATTCGCCTCTGGCCCTTTCTAAAAGTGAAGACACTTTCTACATTAGGTCTTGTGAAACCTACCATTTCTCAAGGATTAACACTGCTGCGGAATCTCACATGTCAGTTCTTTTAGTATCTGGGTTGCAATTCATTTATAGAATGTAGGTATTCTTTTAACATCTCACTTATTTTGAGTTTCAACTGTAAGTTAATCATCACTTTATTATTATTGTTATTTTACCATTTCCAAGATCATTCTGAGAGAGACAGAGAGAGAGAGAGAGAAAAAAAAAGAAACATAGTTTTGCTTCTGTCAAAATACTTGCTTCCATTTCCCTATAATGGGACCTGGTCACCAGTAGGTAGTGCAAAAATATTTGAACTTACAAATGCAGGTAACCTGCCTCTTCTTTTTGCTGTTAAAAAAATACAGTATGCATCCTTATTGAAAAATTCAAGTGTTTATATAAATATATACAGTAGAAAAAAGTAGAAGTCCCTCATAATTCACCTTCCTCAAGAGTGAGAATCACTGTAGTGTGCTGAATAATGGCCTCTTAAAAGATTCCTGAGATGGGCGTGGTGGCTCACGTCTGTAATCCCAGCACTTTGGGAGGCCGAGGCAGGGCGGATCACCTGAGGTCAGGAGTTCGAGACCAGCCTGACTAACACGGAGAAACCCCATCTCTACTAAAAATACAAAATTAGCCAGGTGTGGTGGCACATGCCTGTAATCTCAGCTACTCGAGAGGCTGAGGCAGGAGAATCACTTGAACCTAGGAGGTGGAGGTTGTGGTGAGCCGAGATGGCGCTATTGCACTCCAGCCTGGGCAATAAGAGCGAAACTCCATCTCAAAAAAAAAAAAAAAAAAAAAAGATACTCCTGGCTTACACCTGTAATCCCAACACTTTGGGAGGCTAAAGTGGGAGGATCACTTGAGTTCAGGAGTTCAAGACCAGTGTGGGTGGACAACACGGCAAAATCCCGTTTCCACAAATACTACAAAAAATGAGCCAAGTGTGGCAGTGTGCGTGGCTGTAGTCCCAGCTGCTCAGGAGACTGAGGTGGGAGGATCACTTGAGCCCAGGAGGTGGAGGCTGCAGTAAGCCATGACTGTACCACGGCACTCCAGCCTAGGCGACAGAGTGAGACTCTGTCTTAAAAAAAAAAAAAAAAAAAAAAGATATTCCCCCTCCTAATCTTCTCTGGAACTTGTAAATGTTATCTTATTTGGAAAAAGGGATGTTGCAGATGTGATTAAGGATTGTGAGATTAAGCGACTGTCATGGATTAACAGGGTAAGTCCCACATGCAATTATAAGTGTCCTTTTGAGAGGCAGAAAGAGGTCTGATTCACACAGAAAAAGGGAGGCAATGTGATGATGAAGTCAGAAGCCAAGGATGTAAGCAGCCAACAGAAGCTGGAAGTGGTAAGGGATAGCTTCTCTCTTAGAGCCTCTGGAGGAAAACTGGCCTTGCTAATGCCTTGATTTTAGACTTCTGGCCTCCAGAACTGTAAGAGGATAAATTTATGTTGTTTTAAGCCATCAGGTTTAGAGTGATTTGTTACATAAGACACAGGAAACCAATAATAATCACTATTAATACTGAATATTCTAACATATACTACTATTAACAAAAATGGGATCATAATACACAAAATTGGACATCTCTTTTTTTTTTTTTTTTTTTTTTGAAGACAGAGCCTTGCTCTGTCACCCAGGCTGGAGTGCAGTGGGGCAATCTTGGCTCACTGCAACCTCTGCCTCCCTGGTTCAAGCAATTCTCCTGCCTCAGCCTCCTGAGTAGCTGGGATCACAGGCACACACCACCATGCCTGGCTAATTTTTGTACTTTTAGTAGAGATGGAGTTTCATCATGTAGGTCAGGCTGGTCTCGAACTCCTGACCTCGTGATCCGCCTGCCTCGGCCTCCCAAAGTGCTGGGATTACAGGTGTGAGCCACTGCGCCTGGCCGGACATCTCATTC